AGCTGGTTTCGCAGGCAGGTCACGAGACAACGACAGCTGGCATTCCAGTTTTTTGCCAAGTGTCGCACCACGTATGCAAAAAATTAAATAGATGTTATTATGACACATATGATGCCAAGTAAGCGAATTTTGGATAGATTTATTAAGATAAAATATTGTATAGAGTTTTATTATCGGTATACTTTTAATATTTTATATATACAAAGTTAATCAGTTTTAATAAATATCCTAGAACTCAATTCTATTTCCATCGTAAAATTTGTTTTAAAAAATTCTGTAAAAAAAAGATCCATTTATAATATATTTAATTTATTTAAAAAATAATAGAGAATCAGTAAAAATAAGTTTTGACCAGTAAAATTAATTTTAGTTTAATAAAAATACTTTCATTTCAGTAAAAATAATTTAAATTCAATAATAATAATATAGATATTTATTTACAAAACAAAACTACAAAAAGTGTTTGGGGTAAAAATTACCCCTGCCACGTGGCCCAATGAGGGACCGACACGTGTCACCCCCATACAGGCCTAGAAGGATCCGATCAGAGGATGCCACGTGGCATTGTACCACCAATGGGGGAGCAGATTCTCATCTGCTATAAATAGAGGAAGCATCCTCATTTATTGGATATTCATAAATACATACACAAAAACCCGAGCAATATTAATTGCGGAATCTCTCTGAATCAGTGAGAAAAACCTATTTACGTTCCGCACGTTTACCCATCCGAAATCATACTAACTTGATCGTCGGAGGCGGAACTCCACCCAACCGGAGTTTCGTGGTTTTGCAGGTACAGACGTCAGGCGCGCATACTCAGTATTGTAACTCTCCCGAGGGACTCCAAAAAACCCCGAAACATCTAGCGCCATCTGTGGGGAGAGTACTACTGAGATGGCATCAAACACTGTACCGAATGCAGAGGACAGTCGGCCTACGACTGACCATACGGGTCATGAAAGTGGCAGTGGTGACGACTAAGAAGTCGAAACCTACATGGCCCCAGACGGATCATTTCGTTCCAGGCACACCCGTCCAAGGAAACAAGGGAATGGGGCCAAGACAAAGCTGGTCCTAGCAACCCAGGTGGCAAGCCTGTTGGACAACCCCAGGCGGCGGAGGGTGCTGCCCCCGTCACCAGAGACGAGCTCATGAAATTCATGACGAGTTTCAAAGGGGAAATAAAGGACATAATCAAGAAGTCAACTGGTCCAAGCAAGGGTCAGTCGGCAAATAAGGCTTCTGGGAAGAAGCAAATCAAAGACCGGGTGCCTACTCCTCACCCTAAACCCAAGGGGACGGATGGGCCCCTGATCGACCTCTCTAAACTTCGTTTCCTTAAATCAGGGCAACGAAAGGCCATCCGGCATACACAGCCGAATGGGTCAAAGAAGACTTTCTCTGACGCCCGGATGTTCATCCAGGAGAAGAGAAGTCAGAGCATGTCTCAGTCGGCCTCCATGTCGACATACCCAGACAGTTTCCAAAATGCTTCAATGAAGCATTCGGAGACGCAACAAGGGAGTCAGTCGCATGGTGTGTCCGCACAGACTGGTCCTCACGTGATCCAGCAGGCTCTGTATGTGCCCCAACAGCCATACGCCCCGTATGGATCTCCATTCATGCAGTCGGCTCCCTTTGGGGATCAGGCGGCATATCAAGTCCAGCCAATGGACTGGCAGCTCCGGCTGCTAAACCTTGGGGAACAGCCTTCGGCTTTCTCCCGGGAAATAACCGAGGCGGCACAGCCGGCCAAGGTTAAAAATGTGTTGGTTGGTACCTACGACGGTACCACCAACCCGGAAGATCACCTAATGGCATACACCAACCTCATGTACCTACAGGGGTTGGATGACGCCGCCTGGTGCAGATGCTTCCCGGCTACATTGAAGGGCATAGTCCAACGATGGTTTGGCAACCTGCCGGCTGGGTGCATCAATAATTTCAAGACGCTTGCATACCTGTTTGCGTCCAACTTCTCCATAAACATCCCTGCCAAAAAGACAAGTCTCGACCTAGGGGCTATACAGCAAGGTGACAAGGAGGGACTTCGGTCCTATGTCAGGCGGTTCAATCTGATGAGAATCCAGATTCAGGGGCTGTCTGACGAAGTTGCATATACAGACTTCTTTAAGGTCTGAAGGATGGGTCAACTTTCAAATTTGACCTGGTCCACAAGAGGGTAGCTACCCTCCAGGAGGCGCTGATGGAGGCTGAAGCTTATATACAGGCAACTGAACTGTGTGTCATCAAGCACCCGCCGGAACCCAAGCGGTGCGAAAGGAGAGATAGCCAGCCTACCCAGCCGGCCAAAAAGGAAGAAAAGAAAAGAAAAGAAGTCTGGGTGGTCAGCCGTCCCAGAAGAAACAAAGAAAGTTGGAACCGTACGTCCCCAAGTACGAGTTCAACAAAGACTGCTCCTCCATCCTCATGGAGATAAAAGACCGGTTGACAATCGAGAAACCGGTTGCAATGAAGAGATTTGTCAAGAACAGAGACAAGAGCAAGTATTGTCAATTCCATGAGGATGTAGGCCATGACACCAATGGTTGCTATAGCCTCAGGCGGCTATTGGACCGTCTGGCTGATGAGGGGGTTCTGAAGTCTTACCTGGTGAAATCCAAGGGTAATCCCAAGTCAAGCGGTGGACAACCGTCCAAGAAGCCGGCTGCAAGCTCTGAAACTGATGAAGAGCACATCTTCACAATAGCAGGCGGCTTCGCAAGCGGAGGTCCTACCATCCAGGGCACCAAGGATAACATCCGGAAACTGTCCAACCTAGAGGATGAGGGCCAGGCGTAGAAAGACACCTTCCCTGAGGTCTTCATCTCTGAGAAGGATCGAGGCATGGTAAGGTGGCCCCATGATGACCCTATTGTCATCGAATGCAAGGTTGCCAATCAACGAGTTGGTCGGATCTTAATTGATACCGGGAGCTCGTCTGACCTGATCAGCTACCAGTGCTTGACGAAGCTCAAGTATAAGCCTAGTAGTATGCACAAGGCTCCTCACCCCCTAGTTGGCTTTGGGGGAGAGGTAGTGCATCCGGTGGGGAGGATTGACCTACCCATCCGGCTAGGGGACAAAGAGGAAGGACGACACATGGTCGTCAAGTTTTTGGTGGTTGAGGAATTGACCGCCTACAACCTAATTCTAGGCCGTCCCACCCTCAACGAGTCTAAGGCAGTCATCATCCCATCTCTCATGCTGATTAAGTTTGAGAGGGATGACGGGTCAGTGGGTACCCTGAACGGGGATCAAAAGACGGCTAGGGAGTGCTACCTCTCAGACGTCAGGGGCTACTGCAGCCGGTCATACCGAGGAACCCATTGACCTCGAAGACAAGGGATGACGGGTCAGTGGGTACCCTGGATGGGTTTATGCTGATATTTGATGTGAATTTTGTTCATTAGGAAAAGAGAAAAGATACGATATATGTGCTGGTTATCTCTTGTAGTCTTGTTATTAATTTTTAGGTTTGATCAGTGTTATTCGAAAGGGTTTAGTTGTCGTAGAGATGATGCACAACATGATTAAAATGGAAGGATATAGTTGTTGTAGAGAAAGCAAACTGGTGTTGTATGTATTTGTAATTTGCTGGGGATTAGTGGTTACTCCCACCGTCCCTATTGTTTTGCCCCATTGGAAGGGTTGGACTTTGGGAGGAAAAAAACATATGTTCCTTGTGGCAATCAATTGTCATCTGTTTTTGTAGTTACTAATCCTACATGTTGGAAATTAGAGCATGCACTATTCTTTTCATGCTGTAATCTTTTATGTTTGTGTCATTCTTTGTATTGATTTGAGCTTGAATTGATCAGAAAACATATGCTGTTGTGCTAGAAAGATGATACTTTTACGCTGCTTGAATGTAGCATAATTCTAGACAGGGACATTGATGACCTAAAACTAACACAAAATTCGCTTGATGGGGTTTTGTATTGATATGAAGTTTTATTTGTGTCGTATGATGTGTTAGATCTGCATGTAAAAAAACATTTAGTAAATAAAACATAAACATATAATCGTCGAGTATCCCAAATTAATACAATGTAAGTTATAATTAGAAATACTAATTTAAACATAGGATTTTAAAAATTAAGCTAAAAATTACCCGGCCATTGATGACCAAAAACTAACACAAAACTACTAACACAAAATTTGCTTGATGGGTTTTTAATTGATACGAAATTTTGTTTGTGTTGTATGATGTGTCAGTTTATAATGGTAGGTATCACAAATTTTTATTTAATTATAATTAATGAACAATTTGTATTTCTTATCATAAATACTATTAAAACTTATCTTATAATGATAGGTATCAAACTTTATTATAAGTGTTTATCATTTAAATATATTATTTAGTGTATTTTTTTTTGGATTTCTTATACTCGTAGTATTGAATTAATAAATTTATCTTTTACTATATTTTTACTTTATTTTTTTGTCATTAAAATAATTTAATTCGTGGATTATAATCTACGTGGCATTAAAATTTTAGATATATCAAATGTAATTCGTTACTTTTATCTAGGTGGCGACATAATTTTTTAATTCAAAAATAAAATACAAATCTTTCTTCTTATTTGCCGAAATAAGTATATTTCTTACGTGGCGCTCCGAATGCTCTCCAAAAATGCCTATTTTATTTATTATATTAATTAGATTTTCTCTAAAGTAACGAAATAAAAAATAATTTTATAATACAAAATGTAATTAGTAATTAAGCAAGCGAATAAAATCACAAATTTATCAAATAAATATGTATTTAGTAATATATTTTAATTGGAAAAAAAAACGTGCATCATATGAATTTCATCTAGTTAGAGATTAATTAAGTGAATTAGGGGCACTAGATATCCTATAACAAAAAATTTTCACAATAAGATTTTATTTTACTAAAATATTTAACATCAATTTAACCAAAAAGCTTTTAAAATATATTTTTTTTTTCCTTAAAATGATGGTACATACAACATACAAAGTACGACTTGAATTTTCCCGTTATTTTTTTTATTGTTTTTTAAAATTAAAAAAAAAAACACCAGTCTCTCTAACATCTGCCCAAAGCAGCAGCAGCCATCATCGCCGCCTTGCAAATGGCGACAGCAACATATCCTCCACCACCACCATTTTACAAGCTTTACAAAGATTATTCTCAAAACCCTAAATCTGCTCCTGAACCTCCTCCTCCTATCGAAGGCACCTACACCTGTTATGGCGCTACTTACACCGTCAGTTTTCTCTCTCTTTGATAATATCTGATTTTGCGTGATTTTTTTTTGCTTATTTTGTGAAGTTATTTGTGTAGTTGTTCATTAATTGAATTTTGAGATTAATTAAGGTTTTGATTGATTGATTGAATTATTTGTATAATTTGAAATTAATTGTAGACTGATGATGTGCTTCCGAGTTTGGAAGATCAAGGTGTTCGACAGATGTACCCTAAAGGGCCTAATATAGGTATGCTTTTGTTCTGTTAATTTTGTCGTATATTTGGGTGTTTTCCACATAATTGTTTGAATTTGGTTTTGTACATTTTCTCGAAAATTGTTTGATATTTAGAACAAAATGGGGGAAATTGGACGAGGGAGTAGTAATGCTGATGGAAGTTGTGGGATCCTGAATTAGGAGATACTTGATTCTGTGGCTGCTGGATGGGTTTATGCTGATATTTGATGTGAATTTTGTTCATTAGGAAAAGAGAAAAGATACGATATATGTGCTGGTTATCTCTTGTAGTCTTGTTATTAATTTTTAGGTTTGATCAGTGTTATTCGAAAGGGTTTAGTTGTCGTAGAGATGATGCACAACATGATTAAAATGGAAGGATATAGTTGTTGTAGAGAAAGCAAACTGGTGTTGTATGTATTTGTAATTTGCTGGGGATTAGTGGTTACTCCCACCGTCCCTATTGTTTTGCCCCATTGGAAGGGTTGGACTTTGGGAGGAAAAAAAACATATGTTCCTTGTGGCAATCAATTGTCATCTGTTTTTGTAGTTACTAATCCTACATGTTGGAAATTAGAGCATGCACTATTCTTTTCATGCTGTAATCTTTTATGTTTGTGTCATTCTTTGTATTGATTTGAGCTTGAATTGATCAGAAAACATATGCTGTTGTGCTAGAAAGATGATACTTTTACGCTGCTTGAATGTAGCATAATTGATCAGTTTTCATGTCATGTTTTACTATAGTCATGAACTGTCACATGAGATTGTGCTTCCGCCATATAATTGTCATTCAATATATGCCTGAATAGCTGGTCTTACTTTTCCTATACTTTGCTTGTAAATATTAGTGTGCCTAATGATGTAATATAGATTTCAAGAAAGAATTGAAGACGCTCAATAGGGAGTTGCAGCTGCATTTGTTGGAGTTAGCTGACATTCTTGTTGAAAGACCATCACAGTATGCTAGGAGAGTGGAAGAGATATCACTTATGTTCAAGAATCTTCATCACCTGCTCAATTCACTACGTCCTCACCAGGTACTATTCTAACCGTTGAGTTTTCTTTTCTTTTTACTACACCTTTTTAGTCTCCCTGTGCTATGTATATTTATGCATTTACTTTATTATTCTTAGGCTAGAGCAACACTGATCCACATTCTAGAGCTTCAAATACAACGCAGAAAACAAGCTGTTGAGGATATTAAAAGGTATGCTTCTTAAAATGCCATCCTTTGATTTATTTTACCTGGAGGCTGAAAATAGAAGTTTGTCAATCCCTTCACCATATCTCTACTAAATTCTCTGTAGAAAAAATTACTATATTAAGAGTGAAGAATTAGAGTAGGTCTTGTGTATGATTTTTCAATTTGCATCTAGGGCTTGATGATGATGTTATACTTTCTAATAAATCAATAGTTCTTGTTCTGTGAGGGTACTAAGCACATATTTTCATTTTGCATCTGGAGTTTTCAAGATGATGATATACTTTCTAATTGGTCAATCTTTCATTTTTGTGTGGGTAACTAAGGTACCAAATGCATGAAGGTTACACATTAGCTAAATCAATCAAATCTCACAGGCTTACACCATCCAAACATCCAAAGAAAGGCAAATGGATTTTAAGACTATTAAGTACTACGAAGCTTCTAACAAAAAGTCAATGTGAGGCTAAACCTTTTGGGAAGACTTTTATAGGATTCTAGCTGTGCACCCCATGTGCATGCATCAATGCCATCCTCTTACCAAATAGGTTGCTACCTATCAACAAACAATAGAAAATTTGCAAATTTCTCATCATTTGTTTTAAAATTTGGTCTTAGTGTCACTACTAGAATAAGGGTCTTCAATGACGAGATATTTCTTCGTTTAAAGCCACAAAATCTTTGTTAAAACTTATAACGACATAAAGTATTTTGCCGTTTTGTAATAGGTTTCGTCGTTATTGGTTTTAATGACGATCATTCCTTTCGACGTTTATAATTAACGAGAATCTAAAGACTTACAACAACGCCTAGAGCCTTAATCCCAAAGATGAGGTCACCTACATGATCCTCTCTTTTTATTCCCTTATGTCAAATGTCATATGCTCCTACAATTCTAACTTCTTTATGTTTTTAACTCCTTCCATCCTTGTCATCCTTGGTCTTCCTATGCCACTTCTTCTGAGATCCCCTTGATCACAACCCTATACTTTCCTTATCTGTGCATCTTTTGATTTTTGCCTAACTTGCCCAAACCAATGCAATTAGTTCTCCCTAATCTTATCCTCGATTTTGGCAACTCCAAATTTCCTCCTAATATCTTCATTTTTAATTCTATCCTTAAAGGCGTTCAACATATGCATCTCTAATACTCCTATCTTCTGGATATGATAATGTATGCCCAATAGAATTTTCCCCTTTAACTTCAAAGGTATGCTACATCACACAATATAGAGTGCTCTTCATTTGGGTTAACCTAAATTAATCCTTTAGGGTTACATTTACTTTTTTGCAAAATTGTCTCAAGGTATATAAAACACTTGCTCATGGATACTTCCTTACCATCCAATGTTTCTATATCCCTACTTGACTTCCTTTTAGTGCTAAAATTACATTCCATGTTCTTGGTTTGAGCTCTGAGTCAAAACCTTCGAGATTCTAAGCTTTTCCTCTATTGCTTTAATTTGGCATTAACCCCAACTCTAGTCTCATCCACCAATATAGTATCATTAGCAAAATCCAATACTATTACAAATCATGTGTAAATTCGTTTTTCTTGCCTTATAAATTTATAATACTCCATCATTTGCATTATCAAATGTATACCTTCCATGGTTGAATGCCTAACGTAAACCTAGTTAATATTGACCTTTTCCAAACCTTGATAGCAATATCATATGGGCCAAACTTCTTTCAGAAGTTTCATTCTTTTGAATGCCTATACTACTTTACACTTTCTGAATTCTTTGTTTATAATTGTAATTGATGTCCTCACAAGTGACAACCACCCACAACTCATGTAAGTACCTCCATATTTTTTAATGTTCACATCTTGTACCAATTTTTTATTTTTAATATATATATATATCCTTCTCACACTTTACCAAGGAGAGGTCTTTGCATGTCCTCTTTCAGCTATCCTGTATATATCCCTTTCGCCTTCCTTGAATCTAGTATGTGATAAAATATACCTTTTCTTTAGCTTGTCAAACAACTTCTTTCTTTTGCTTTATAACCTTAAAATCCTTTTATTTTGCAACATTCTCGTCATTTCTTTATTTTCCAAGGGCCAAATAACATTTAATTTCTTCTTAATTGTTGCTTTACTGTTCCATCACAATGTATCTTAATTCTCTATACACCATTGCTTTTGCCTTTGTTTTACTTAGGTCCTCCTTGGTCACTTTGCAAAAATAACTCTTTATCTTATCTTCAACCACGTAGTGAGGCGCACCTTAGCGCTGAGGAGCAAGTGTTAGGGGTCATGCGCCTTTTGTGGTCTAGGCGAGGTGATTTTGAGGCGCATAGTATTTTCAGAAAATTTTATACAATTTATTATATGAGCCTCAATAAGGCGTGCCTCTTGGAAACGCCATGGTGCACCTTAATCCTTTTCATACATTCCAACCAAGTCCAAGATCCACCTCTAAGCTAATCGACTTCTTCTTTTCGGGTAACACTTTGGCCTTACCTTCTTTTAAGTTCCACCACCTTATTCTTGGGTCACCTTGAATTGTGGTAGTCTAAAAAATTAACCTCATATCATCTGAGACCAAAACCTCGTGGTGAGTAGCTCCATTCTCCCCTTCGGAATAACCTTACAATCCAATTAACTACGCCTATTCATACAATAATTTATCTGTGGTGCATTTGCTTCGTTTTGAAGTCACTAAATGAGAATCCTTTTGCTTAAACCTATAGTGTTGCCATACATTAACCAAAATATCTTGTTTATAAACCATGAAAAATAAAATTACACTAAAGAGATGTAGGAAAACTTTCCTTGTTTTTAATAATTGAGACCTTAAGTTTTGCAATAGTCATAAGTTAACTTTGACCACATATTTTACTAATTTATTGAAAGCAATTGTTATTAAGTAAGATATGGTTGAACTAGTATCTATGTATGTTTTCATAATCAACTTTAATAGATTTCCTAATAGATAATTATGGATATTTATAGTCAAAGTTGTGTATTGGCAAATGTGAAAGTAGATTTTTTGGGCTTGATATATAACAATATCCTTGATCATCCTCAAATACTCTTAACCATTAGCATTAGCATAATTAAAAATTCCTTATGTTATTTATCCAATGTATCTTTAAATCATTTGAGTTTTTGTTGAACCCCTAGAACTCTCAAGCATCTTGATGCGGTGTTTTTTAAAACGCCGAGATTTTAGCTAATTCAACCGATACGACTAAATTTCGCCCGAATTGACCGGTATTATCTCATAGGTTAATTTCCAATGAAGTACTCCCCCCATTACGTACTAATCATAGCACTTTCCTTTTACATCCGTTTCATAGTAATTACAACACTTCCTTATTTAGTATGGTCCCACTTATATTTTATTATTTCTCTCTCCTACCAACCCCACTTAACCTTTTTTTTTTTTTAATTGTTTCTCTCCTTTTAACAACTAAATATACCCATACCAACTATACTTTATATTATTAAATTCTCCTTTTGATCCCCACCCTATATTTTTCCTAAAACTATGTGCAACACCTAGTGTTGTGATTATTACAAAATAGAGGGAGTACTTGCTTTTTAAGGGAAAAGAAAGGAAAAATATGAAAAAAAAAATGAGGAACCTCCATTAAAATCGAGAGAGTTCTTTGTTAAACTCGAAGAGGAGGAAGAAAGTACTTCAGCAGGTGAGAGAGAGTGAGCCGCAGGGTATTTTATTCAAATAAACTCCCTAAGGCCCTTTTTGGTTGGAGGAAAAGAAAAGATAGGAAAGCAAAATTATAGCTTCCTATGTTTGGTTCTAAAAATTAAACGTAATTTGATAGGAAATGAACGGAAATGGAAAGGAAGCTCCCTTTACAAAAACTTCCCATCCTTTCCTCCCAAAATTGGAGGAATTTGAGAGCAAAGAAAGAAATAAAATCTATCAAGCTTAAAATTAGTTTTATTTTCTTTACTAATGTCATACTAAATAATAGATTTCTCTTTTTTCCCTTCCTTTACTAATATCAAACCAAACATTAGATGGATATAATTTTTTTCCTTTCCCTTCTCTTCCTTTCATTTCCCTTCCCTTCCCTTCCTTTCCCTTTCTTTCTTTTACTAAGATTGAACCAAACAAAGCCTAAGTGCGTATGTGGGGATAGTGGGGCACTTAGGGTTTTTATTTTATTTTATTTTATTTTATTTTATTTTATTTTAAATTAAACATCCCCATGTGGGTCAGGCGAGAGAGAGTTGCTAAGTTTTCAATTTAGTATTGTACAACTGTGTACTACTCCTAACTTATAAATTATAAAATTTATATATAAAATAAAGTAAAATTCTAGAATGTAGTTTTTGGCATAAAAAATTTTTAACAAAATTTTGCCACTACAATTGCGACCCACCTCGCGACTAACGCATCAATTCCGTTACCGTGATACCGTGATACCGTGACTGTTTCCGCGATCGTGACCGAAAACACATTTTTATTCTAAGCTCTCAATTTTAGTGTTCTCATTTTTATTTTTTTTGAAGTTAATTCAAACTTACAAGAAACAAGATTAGAATGAAGATAATGTCTCACTAAGCACCTCAGTGTAAATTGTGTAAAAGTAAAGGAGAGTTTTGGGATGTGTATCCTACACTGAAAAAAAAGTGAAAGTTGTGTCCACTTTATAAGGCTAAGGGGCTACTCCCCTCATTGCCATATGGTTTTGAGGTGGAACCTCATTGGACTTATAAAGTGGACACTCGTGACGAGTGTGGCCCAAGCCGTTTATCATGGTATCAAAGCCATTTGATCCTTAGGGCTTATGAGGTTACAAAATATGAGAGTTCCTCCATAAGTAAGTTTCCAATGTCAACTTCAAATAATTTTTCACTTTTTATTCCCACATTCAAAAGAGATAATTATTATTCATGGGCTATCAAAATGAAATCATACTTGAAAGCCATGAGTTTATGGAAGCAATTGAGAGTGATGTTTATCGAACTACTCTTTCACTAAATCCAATAGTTGCCCAAATAAAAAAATAATGATGAGGATATG